TAATCAAAAACCACTCCCCACCTTCCTTCCCCACCAGGGAAGGTTTTGCATCATGCCCTTCCTGCACTGAGTCAAAAGGCAACAGCAATCTCTTCTGTGTATATTTCCAACAGCTGCTAATGCCATAAGTCAAACAAAAAGGCTGAAACTCCATTAAAAAAAAAAGGCAGATAATGTGAAGCTGGACGAGTATTTGCGAATATGAGATGTGGGTTTCCCAACAGTTCTGACTTTCTTTTCTAATCAGTTCTCACTGCCATCATGTTATTTGTTCAGGGCAGGTCTACGTGGGATGAATTAAGCAGTCTGCATCATATCACAAGCCCAGCTACCTTCCTGAATATTCAAATGCAAAATAAAATCAGCCTCTTGAGTAAGTGCAGTAGAAAGTGTCTGATATTAAAGATCCATTCAGGCCCTTGTTATACTTGACAATCAGTCACCCCTTTATCCCTGTGGATCCATAGGTTAGGAAAAAACTGACATGGCTGCTGGTAATTCTATTTAGAGTGAGGTGTTTAATGGATATGAAAAACATAATCAGGCCATGAAGGGTAGAATGAAAGCCACTGTCACTCTGTTTGCCAACCTGTCTCTAACTGAAAGGCAAAGTTCAGTACTCCATCTGTCATCTACAGCATATGGACTTCAGAGAAAAATCAGTGTTAGGACTCACTGAGACAGAGATTTGCAGGCCCCAGCATTTACACCCCATTTAACAATTTCCCTACCAGTGCTCCTTTTCTTTGCATGTTTTGAGGGTCCAGTAAGGCACTCAGGACACTATCATGGTCAGCGATCTATCACCCAGCAACTGCAGCCGCCACGTACAAACTAACCTACAGCATAAACCAGCAAAATACACATCTTCAAGCACACAAGTTTTGATGCAACATCCATTTGCCTTCACATGCCACATCAAAACCAGCTGTCCTAGTGGTTGCTGTTCTGCTCTGCACGTTGAGAAATCTACCCTGAAGATAAGACAAAAATGCTCTCTGACCCCTCTGCTGCAAACTGTCACAAGCCCAACCCTCAGGCTGCACACAGAACTCAACATTTTAGAGGATCAGTTCTCCTTGAACTTTTTCTCCAACATGATTAAGCAATGCTATTTGAATACTGGAGAACCATCTGGAATGTACAGGACCTGCAAGACTATTACCTGTATTAAATTAGCAATGTTATCATTCTGTGCTCTACTGAGCCTGCTGAGATACTGGGAAGATATTAATAACTTTGAATTAGGAAGAAAATTGGCACAATAAAAGAATACAGTAGGTATATTACATCCTACACCTGGCACAACACTGACAGCAGTGGAAAGGATTGTGAAAAAATATGTGTATTCAAAATAAATAGTGGAAAAAGAACACTGATCTTACAATGGCAGCTGACAAAATGACAGGTTAAGACTGGCTACATTTTAGGGAAATGTATTTTCTAGGAAGACAATACAAACCTCATGAATATGAAAACACCTAACTGTACAAAAAATCAAAAGCACATTTTAAATGTTCCCCATGTCTAATAGGGGCATTTTCCTCTAATTTGAAGCCTTGTCTGCGTCTTTGATGCAACTAGAAAATCAGAGCTGTTTGACTACGTTGATCTGGTTGCTAAACAACTGATAATTGACCTTCTCTAGGTTTCAGTAATGTGGGCTTTAAGCAGTGAGCTTGTTACCTTTCTGTTTGAAAGGTTGGGACTGAATATTGACCAAGTACTCAAAATGGAAAGAAACCCTGAACAAGCCCAACTTAAGAAAAAAATTAAAAGACAGATTTGCTGATAAAAATGTGTAGTTTTTTAAAAAAAGTTTAAAAAACACAATGGCATACAAACACAATTCAGATTGCTTCTGTGGACTGAAAATTTCCACCAGGAAGCTGAAATTTATTCTGTTAAAAGTATAAATTCTAGTATTAACTCTGCTTGGTGGTATCATGATACAAGTCCCCTCACCACGTGTCCCATCCAGTCTGTACTTACTGGGCTTTGAGGTCTACTTGGAGCTCTAAAACCCTCTTCTTGTTTAAATGTGTCTTTTGGATTTATCCTACTTGCAATATTCAACTACTGTTTCAGTCCCCATCAACCCAAGTGTTTGTTCAGTGTGCTCAAGAAAACCCAACAGACTATTCCATGATGCTTGTGCCAGAGAATACTGAAGAATCCCAAATATCTGATAAATTCAACTCTATAAAATGTTACAAATAATTTATTGTTTAAAGACCTTAAGTCAGCATTGTGCAAAGCCCATTTTAATAATATTCCTTTGAGGGAGGGTTGCAAAGTGTAGTGCCCCAGGAGTTGTGGAAACTCTCAAATTATTTTTTGAAAGCTTGGAACTAATTTCTAGTTTATATAATTGATCAAGCCTTTTATTTTTGCCAAATATGTTTCTCTAATAGTAACCTGAGCAATATACACAATTAGAACTGAAATCAGCTTCAGTTTTGGTTTAAAAGCTTTCGCAGTTACTGTCAAAATTTAAAATTTGCCTCATTTTGCCTGCCAAAACAAACATAATTCACTTTTCCTCTTTTCCTTTCAACTACTACCAAGCATAACCAGGTTTAACATAGATATGAAATATGTGAGCCATAAGCCCCGTGCCCATTGTACAGAGTACACACCAGTACCAAGAGTTGGTAGAGGAAAGCAATCAATAGCTCAAAGGTAGTTTTCATTATTAATCAAGAACTGCACACACCTACATCTGCTCTGTGTTGTCAGTTTTTTTCTCCATGGGTTATTTTTGAAGAAACGTTCAACTACCATATCTTTTAAGGGTATTAATCAAGAACTGCACACACCTACATCTGCTCTGTGTTGTCAGTTTTTTCCTCCATGGGTTATTTTTGAAGAAACTACCATATCTTTTAAGGCAAGGAACTGAAACCATTTTCATTTTCAGGTACGTTTAGGTGACAACATCAGTGCCCTTCCAGAAGTTTCTGTATTAGCACTGTGAGATGCTCTCATTCTTCTCCATGGCATTCATGCAATTTGAAGCAATCTGGGAAGTGTTGTTATCCAAGTCATTTGCTACACCCTATATCTCTTTCTATACTTTATCAAGTGCCTCAGGTCTTGTACCAATTTCAACTCTGAATGCCCTTTGTCTTTGAGAAAATTTTGAGTGTATTGAGATCTCTTTGGGAAAGCTTGTCAAATAAATAAATTATTGAAGAAATAAATTATATCTGTGACTTCTGCATAAAAAAGTGTCAATTTTTGATTCATCTAGGATGATAGAAAAACAGGAAAAATTTAAAATCCACACAATGGGCTTTAATACTTCTTAGACTTTGAAAAGGCCTTGGCATGTCAGTCAGAGGTGGTGTGCCTATAATTGGCAATGTTGTAGGATAGGAGAGGATTGCTGGAAAGGAGCTTTATTCATCCCATTCTTCTTGTTCATGGAAGAAATTGGCAACTCTTTCCCCAGCTTTTTCTGAGTGCTCTGTACAAGACCACAGAGAACCTATATGCATAATTTCCTCTTTAATCTCTATAGGAAGTCTGTTCAGGAGGGAAATATCTAAGGCCGCACAATTTTCACCTGAGTCATATATTTCTGCCATTGGTACTTGAATTACGTGAGACATTGTGAATTTCATTTTCAAGTATTTAACCCTCAGCCTTAGCGATCTGTAAGAACAGCTTCATCATGGAATTTCCTTGACCTTTTTATCATGAAATATTTATGTGTGTATACATACACACTCAGAGAAAGAAGCTCAAAAATTAGGCCTTTTGAGCTCCAACGATTTGTTAACAAACTCAAGCTGTGTGACCACATTCCAGATTCTGAGGCTCTTTGACCACTCATGTGTGCACCCAAGTGCTCCAGTTGCTGGCAGAATTGCACAGGAGGGAAATCCACTGAAAATCTGTAGACTCTCTTTGCAAAATCAGCAGTTAAGAGCCTGTAAGAAATTCCTCTTTCCCATAAGAGAAATCTTAAGTCTAGATTCTCAAACTGTGTCTCAACATGACATTTGTTCAAGGTTATTTGGAATTTAAGGTGTTTCAGCCACATCATAGCACCCAGCCCCTGTTGTGCTGACAGTACTGTTCACAGGCTGTGTTGAGAACTGAAGAGCTGATTGGGCTTTGCAAGGACAAAGGTTAGAAGCTACAACATTTTCCTGACCTGTTTTGAAAGAGCATTGTCCATTGTCCACCAGTGCTGGTGCCGCTGGGAGTGGAAGAGCAAGGGGAACAGGGAAAAGTGTATAGGCATGAGCAAGCATTCAGGACCAGGAACTACAGCTGGGCACCAAGCTCTGCTGCACTCAGGGCACCACCAGGTCACTGCAGCAGAATGAAGAGCAGTTTATTTCACCTGCATCAAGCAGGAGATACATTCACCTGACCAATCTGAAATGGTGCTAGGTCATAGAGAGCTGGAGTTCAAAGCATTGCCTACTATCAACACAAAGTAATATTTTCCATGTTTGAAGGAGCATATGCCAATACAGAGGTGCCATGACTCTTTAACCTGTACCAGCACTAGAGTGCCAATATAATGACTTCAAACTAGTGCTTTAGTGTTTAAAAAAAATACTTCAAAACAAAACAGTTGTTCCAGAAAGAAAAGGCACAAATCCCAGGACTATGGTCTGTTAGCAAGTCATCCCTCTCCATAAATACAAAAAAATTTGAATACTCCTGCAAAATCCCTTCACAATTTAAATGTATGTTCACTGTATGGGTGAGACATCCCCAAATATGTGTGTGATCTTTGCAACTCTGCATTTGACTAGCATAGCTCATGTAAAATTAACTGGTTTTGCATGCCATGTGATTTTCAAAGTCATGGTATAGATAAAGCAGAAGCAGGCATCACTGGGAAAAGTTCTGCGCCAAGAATCTAATGCCTGTTTTAGCAAATAATGTAGTGCAACACACAGCCCTGTAAAAGACAGCAAGTGGTGCTGAGGATCCAAAGTTCTCAATATAAACTCTTCATAATGCTTACTTAAGAAAATCTCTGCTTTGATCCAGTGGGCTGAGTGTGTTAGGTTGGCTCCTGGAGTGCCTCTTCTCACAGGCTTCAGGAAGCAGCTTAGTTTTCACCTGAAGTGGAATGGATTTTTGTCCTATGACTACTCCCTGATATCAACCAAAACAAGGGAAGTAAAGACAACTGGAAGATTAGCTTCAAAAGCACAGTCCTGCATCTAAGTAAAATGAACTGTGGACTAGATACCATCCACAGAGTAAGAATGCAAGAATAATTTTGTAAAGAGGATAGGTTCAGTCTTTTTGCCATCATATTTTTCCCATTCCCGACCCCTTCATGATCTTATACTAAACACCTGTTCAGTTTTATACGTGAGATACAAGTTGAAACATTAAACAGAAAGTTAAAAATCACCTTTAAGGCTGATAAAGTCCAGGAAATTTTAGCATGGAAGAAAATAGTAATTTTGAGATGGCAGCTGAGCTGGGAGTTGTGTTTAATTAACTAGTAACCTAATGCTAGATTTTGTAACAATGGTCCCATTCAGGGATGTTAAAATTATTTTTTAAAATTCTAATTCCTTTTTTACCTACAAGAGAAGTAGACAAGTCCTAGAAAGAAAAAGTGGTCTGAGCAGGTCAGTAGCAGAGGAAGGAGCAAATTCAAACCTTGCAGATTCCTGTGGCAGCTCCGTCTGCTCTGTGCATGTGGGACAGCCGTGCGTAAAGAAAATGACCCAACAGGAAATATTCCAGGTTTTCTGCATGTAAACAGTTGCTGCCTCAAAACCAGTGGATGATGGATGCTGAAAATAGCATTTGAATCCTCATCTCTCGTGTATCAGTTGTCAGGCACACACTGACCCAAACAGCTAGTGAGGAAAGAGATTTGCAACAACTGTCACCCACTGCAAGCAGCCAAAGTGTGGCTTCTTCCAAGAGGAAGGAAATCAGTAGGAAAAAACAGTACTTCTTTGATGCGGTCTTGTTGCACACAAACAAATGCACATGAAATTTGGCTCCCCTAAGTACTGTAGGGCTCAAAGAGCAAGAAGCAGTTTCCTTGCTCAGTATTCATACCCAGGACAGCACTTGCTCTTTTTTAGATCTCTCACAAAAAAGCTGTACATGCCTTTTTGAGTAAAAATTATTTTAATGCCCTTCTCTCTCTGATTCTGTCACATTTTCTTGCTGACAGTCACCCACACTTCCAAAACTTGCATTGCCCTGTACTTCCTCCTCTCCATTGCTGCTGCTCTGCCTTTCAGCATCTGAGTTATTCCCCTTCTGTCTTCCCAACAGCAAGGCACACGGAGCTCACAGAGAGACACCATGTCCTCAGTCACAGTTTGGGTGGCTGGACAGTTGGGTGGTGGTTGGAGCTTCTACAAAAGAAAATGTTGCTGTTGCAGAGAAAATTCAGTGATGACCTGGAGGACACACACCAAGCTCAACAAGGATGCTCAGAAATTTTAGAATCATGGAATCATTAAGGTTGGAAAAGTCCTCCAAGATCATCAAGTCCAACCTTCAACCAAATGCAAGCCACTAAATCATATTGTGAAGTGCCACATCTACTCATTTTTTGAGCACTTCCACAGATGGTGACTTCACCCTTCCCTGAAAGCCTATTCCAGAACTTTTCTGAAGTCTAGTCATTAGAAGTCTTTACACATCTTTGTGTTACCAAACATTGTTTTTACTTATCTGGATTGTTTTACTTTTTGGTAGAATTATCATTTCATAAAAATTGGTTTTGACATAAGTCTGTAGCAAGTTCCATTTTTTTTCCTGCTAAAAAATTAAAATTATAAAAATGCTTCCTGGAATCTGTCTGACATGTCTATGGCAAGGGCTGAGGATAAAGTCTAACTTTGTCCACCACAAATGTTTCCCAGCTGGATTTAGGCCTTCTGTATATGCTATAAGGATTTTGCTTAACGGGAACCTGGAAAGGAAAAGCGCTGCACTATATTTTAATTTTAAATCCTCTGAGAAAATACTTCTTTGGTTGATTCACCAGTGGGTGAGTGATCATCACAGAGGAATGTAAGCACTGGGTTTATCTCAACTGTGTGTTAATATTTCTTGCTGCTTTTCCCACCAAGTTAAGCTTGCTTTGCTTTTTGTGTCCTCAGACTATTTCACCGAAATGGCAGCGGATCATCTTTAGTTAATGATTGCATTGCTGTGCTTCAGAGCTGACTCAGAATAAATTTTTGCAATCCTCAAGGAGGATTCCCTTGCCCTCCTTAGTGTTGTTTAGTATCTGCCTTTAAATAGGGCTATGGCTACAATCACCTGTGACAGCATATCCCACAACTGGTAAATTACAGTAGGAAGATAGTAATGACTTTGAAGACAAGTGGCATCTGTTTGATTCCTTAGACCAGAGTGATTTCAGGAAAGAAAATTTTAAAGCAAAAGTTGCTGTCTACAAGAGGCATCTGCTGTAGTGTGTTCGTATATTTGTGGAGTGATCTTTCATGTCCATAATTGGGCAGCTTGTGAGGGCAGTTACATTGCCTCCTCTATATGTTATGGACAATACCACAAGAAAAAATACACAAGAATCCTAGTTTCTTGCCATACAAAATTGTCTTTTAAGACCTTAGCATAACTGTTGCTAAGATGTGCTTAACTTAAATTTAAAATATTTATTCTGTACAACATTATTGAAAAAAAACCCCAACCCAGACCCAAACAATACATCCCACAAATCTGCTAACATAATATCCCTTGTGTAGGAAAAGTGACACAGGGTGTCAGAACATTAGTTTTATGCATTTATGCATCTTATGGTGGGGCAATCTGCTAACATAATATCCCTTGTGTAGGAAAAGTGACACAGGGTGTCAGGGTGTCAGAACATTAGTTTTATGCATCTTATGGTGGGGCAGAAGGAAGGGAAGAGGAGACTTCTTGGAGACAGAAGTATTTTGGGTGGGCACAAATTTCACAGCTGGCTGCTTTTAGCAGGTGCAGCCTGTTCTTGGCAATTCTGTGGATAATGAAACTCAGGGTAGGCTGTTCTATGAATCTCTCTTGATTCTTGCAGTAAACAGCAGCAATTCTTACAGTGAATAAAATGAGCATTACCAATGACAGCTGGGTCTGGGATTGTTTGGATTTTAACCCTCTCCCCCAGTAAGGACATTTCTTCAATATGAGTTCTAAAGACAGTAAAAGGGTTAAATTGACCACTGTGGATGTGCATATACCAATTTGTCTTCACTAATTATATTTTGAATAACGCTTTTCAGTTAAAACATTAACACTCTAAGTTTAGACCATATGTGCTTTAACGAAGGGGTTTTTTGATGCTCAAATAAAAGGCTTGAAAAAAGGAACTTGCACACAAAAACTTGCCACAATTCTTCATCCTCCCCCCCCCCGCCAAAATAAAAACAAGAGAGTGTGTGTTCTTATCACAGGTGACATCTCAGAGGTTTCTACTGATTAGATGTAAATGACCCACAGTGGCCAGAACCAACAGGAAAAACAGTTTTGTGGGATTACTTTTCAGTAGATTTAGCTGAAAACTAACTGGGGCAGGAGTGACCCAGCTGTGCTGCAAAATCACAGCACTGGATGGGAAAACCATGCCTAAGTGAGACATTCTTCCCGAGCAGCCAGATGAGGCAGGCAGACCACACTTCACGACAGAGCTGACAAGAGAAAGCAGTAACTGCATGAGCAGGAGAGCTCTTACCTGACCGCTGCTGTAAGATGATTCTAAGGTGTCATGTGGAGCAAGGCAGTCCATTAATTTTCCATTCCGCCGGCAGCCCAGGTGCACCAGGTCTCGGCAGTGAGCATGGCAGGTGTACCTGCAATCTTAAAAACCCACAGACAGACGCCAGGAAAAAAAAAAGAAAATAAAACAAACAAACAAAAAAACAAATTAAAATCGTATTTAGAAATTAGGCTTCTGCAGGCAGAACATAGGAGTGAGACACATCCTCATTTGCTACGTGACCTCAGAGAAATAACCACCTCTCAAGCAAATTTCCCCACCCCTATCAAAGATAATAATAGCTACAGAGGGCTGGAGATGTAAATTCACCGGAGCGAAGGTGACAGTGCAGCACACCTCCCAGTGTCACACTGACAGGCCTGCAGTGAGCAGGTCTTTAGTTAGATCACGGCTGCCTCACTGGGATGGTCTCGCAAAATGTCCATGCCACAAACTAGGTATTTGCTGTTGCAATGTAAGCATGAAAGGGGCAGTTCCCAGAAAAGACACAACATTTTTGACTTGCAGACAAAAAATTCTACCTACACAGAATTATTGCTACATGGTTTTTCATGTTTTAAGCTCTAGATACTCATAAGAATATGCACATGAGTATTGAAAGCAGAATAAGGGACTTATCTGGAGCTTAATGATGCTGGTAAATCAAATATTTGCCTTCCGTAACAATTCAGAAATTTCACTTGCTAGCTATCCAAGTCAACTAAGATGGCTATTAGAAATGTAAATTCATTATAACAGGCAGATGGCCTTATCTCTAGTAAGAAATAGATGATTCATACTCCCTCTAATCTTAAAGAATCACTTTAAGAGTATTTGCAAAACCAGCTTGTTTTGCTTTGAAGCCTTGTTATGTTTGCTGGTTTTCTGTGTAAGCTGGGCAGAGTTCACCATGCCATCTTTGTCTAGGACTGAATGTCACTTTCTATTTTTAGGTTTTAAATTGCTTATAATTTTGCCAAAGAGTAGCCACTTGTACTTCAAGTTTCCATGCTGGGGAACATCATGCTGTTTGTTTTAGAACACTTCAGCTAAAACAATTCAGCCATTTCCAAGAATGACTTTTGGAGGAAATGCTTTAATTTTCTCTAACTAAGCTATGCTTACTTTTTTTTTTTTTTCATTGTTGTTACAACGCTTTACACTTTCAAGATTTATAGCAAAAGATGAAATTCTGGATGGGCTCTTTTGTTCCCTTATCAGCTTCTCAAAAATTTCAGTTTCTCTTATGTTTGAATAGATTCCCATTGCAAAAAATGAATTCTTGAACCTTCCCATTTCCAATCCATACTCATCATGGTGTTATAGGGCAAGACACAGAGTGTTCCCTGAAATGATGTTACTCTTGGCTAGGAACTGGATCTTTAATGTAATACCCCCGTACCATCGGACCATTCAAAAGCAAAAATTATAATGTGGATAAAGAGTAAACCTGCAATCACATTCCTGCACCTGATACAGAATTTATGTTACGCTTGCATTAAGGCAAGATTAATTGTATTTATTTGGCACAAAGTCAGCCTGTCAAAAATTTTTCAACACAGCAACCCGGCATAGTGAGTCCATCCTGGATCAGCACTGCAAGGCAGATAACTGGGATGTTTCTGATCTTAAAACAGACTGACTTCATCACAGCAACTATATCACAATAACATCACTGTGTCTCAAGTCACACTCCTCTTGAGATGTCAGCAAATAGCTTCCAGCTAATTATGGGTTACAAAGGACCCTGTTGCAGTATAAATCAAAGCACTGAAAAAGACTCACACTCTCTAAAACAGTCACTGTATTTAATGCAGGATTTGAAAAAGGTGAAGCAATACAGAAGACTACAGAGACAAATAAAAAGAATGGTTAGGCAGCTTATGTGCCCAGAAGAATTTATAGTTGTCTCTACATCCTTGTGTGATGCTAGCAAGCCACGTTGCTGCCTAATTTCTCCTGGGTTCCACATTTGAGTTCCTTTATCCAACTTTTAGTAAACATAGAGTATTCCCAACTGCAGCTGAAGTCAGCAAGAACTGTGCTTTTGACCCAAATGAGGTTTTCCCAGGGCTCTGTTTTATGCTTATGCAGCTGGGATTATTTTTCAACTGACTCATGCACTTCATGAAATTCTGGAGAAGATAGAACACTCATTTTCATGGGTGCCTTGAGAAGAGAAGGATTTTGTCTTTGGGAAGGGACCCCATAAGACACAGTGGAAAAGCCAAGAGGAATAAAAAAAATTTGGAGCCATTGTTCATCAGGTAAGGGAACAGGGCATCTACACGAGAAAGCCAGGATGGGAGCACTTAAATAAAAATTACATTACAATGCATAAGCAAAAGAAGATCAAATGAAAGTAGTATTTTCATTTCTTCTTTTTTCTTAATTTCTGTGTTTTTTACTTTGCAAGTTCAGTTTCTTTTTTCCTTAATTTCTGTGTTTTTTACTTTGCAAGTTCAGTTACCTTCTTTAGAAAAAAATTATTATAAGATTGCACAGTATACCCACCTTTCAATTCTCCCCTGTAGTTCTGACAGAGCTGATTATTTCAACCACAAATGCCCTAAAAGCTAATTAAGTTTTATGAAAATTATCTCCAGGCTAAAGGGGGGAGTCCCAAACTAACACCCACACTCAGGGCAAAGCTGGCAAAATTCAGCTATTATGCCATTGTCCGGCCACGTCTGGAGAAGCAGCTACTGCACATCACCTGTGTGGTGAGGAGGTTGTGGAGAATGTCCTACAAATCTGTAGGACACCAAGGTTCACTAATTCCCCAACTTCCTGTGGCTGCACAATTGCATGTACTGAGCATGCACAAATTCACAAATAATATTAGGAGAAAATCTGTTAGCTAAACAGTGTTCTGAAACAGGATTACTTATTCAGTTAGGAAACATTAGCTCTCAATGCTATTTTTTTGCCATTTATATTCATTTTAATTTGTGAGTCCATAATATCATTTGCAAGACAAGCTCATAATTTCAACCTGGCTATTATAGGCATAATGACAAAAAATGTGGAAGCTTCATCTCTAAAAAAGCTTCGCCTCCATCATAATTTCAACCTGGCTATTATAGGCATAATGACAAAAAATGTGAAAGCTTCATCTCTAAAAAAGCTTCACCTCAAAGTATTTCAATTTTAAGCTAGATTTTAACATACTGTTTATAAGTTTAATAAGCAAGATTAAAAAAGGATGGGTTTTTTCCCTAAAACAGTGGATCTATGTATGACCTTTTTTCATATGTGTTTTAGCTTTAAATATACCAATTGTGGCATACAATGTTCCACAAAATTTTAGACAGCATCAAATTTAAAAAATGCCGCCTTCTGATAAACCTTTACTGGAGCACACCCAAAATTTCCATGAGTTCAAAAAGTAGCTATAATTCTGCAAAGACTGTTATGGTCATTAGATCATGGATTGCTATATCATTTCTGCTTAGAAAGCAATCAATCAGGTACTCTTTCCTGATGTGGTCTGAAATGAATCCTGTTCTTTGAAATCAGAGCTCTGGGGACTTAGCACGTAGCTATAATTCTGCAAAGACTGTTATGGTCATCAGATCATGGATTGCTATATCATTTCTGCTTAGAAAGCAATCAGAATCAGGTGCTCTTTCCTGATGTGGTCTGAAATGAACCCTGTTCTTTGAAATCAGAGCTTTGGGGACTTAGCATATTTGATAAAAGCATTCACTGACAATTAGGAAAGCTAATAGTTTTATTTTACTGATGCTCAGACTGTCATGTACACTGAATTTATGTACAAAAATGATGCATCAATGCATATTAATTATGAAAATTGTCCTGAATTATTTAGAAATGCAAAGTATCTATTTATTAAGCATATAAATATTATGCTTTGAAAGTTTCATCGACAACTACTGAGACGTAATAAGCTCCTTTTGATTTATTATTCTATTGCACCAATGGCTTTACTAGAGTCACAGAAAAAAAATAACTTATATTATTGCTAGAAATCAACACCATTCCTATCCTGCCCTCGTGGGGGTGAACTGTAAGGCTTCAGCATGTTCTTTTTACATGAATGGACCCTACCTGATGTTTGGGTTTTCTTCACCCAAAACGAGACTTTGCCTGATGGCTTGTAAATAGCTGTTCCCATAACCAGTTGCTTCAGGGCAGTGCAGCAGAAAGCACGAAAAGGAACAGGCTCCTAAATCCTCCAAAATCAGGACCTAGTAACTAAGTATTACTAAATCAGGCAGAAGCTCAATAGCAAAGTCTCTCTATCCTGCTGTGGTCTCCCCTGCCTTGGAAATGTGTAATTTCATTTCTGTGATGGCCCAGACAAATTTGACTTCCAAATGGACATGCAAAATGTATGTTGTGCCTAAACAACTGAAGTACATGGAAAGTTCAAAGCCAAATTTGAATTGCCTTTGCATTATTTATCAACCACAGTAAAAAGTCTTTATTAGAAAGTGTGAGGAGGATACACTACTTGGTCCTGCTACTGTGTTGGGAAGTTAGCAAGTAAAATCATCTTTACATGAGAACCTGTGGCTTGGTTCCCAGAAATCAGAAGAGAGTTTTACTGCTGCACTTGCTCTAAATATGCTTGTAAAGCTTCTTGGAAAAATTATTCAAACGATGTGAGGTGTTTAGTGCTTTAATTTTTAATCCATTTTAAGCCAGCAGGTAACAAAAGGAAGGAGAATGAAGTTCAGCTATATTTCTCCTGCAAGACAGAATTGAACTGTTATGTCTACAATACATTGGTATCAGCATGTCACATTTCAGTTAATGCTTAATGTATGTTGTGTTGGTCTTTTTTGCTGGTTCTCAAATGTCTACATTGTAGTTTGATGCTAAAGTTGCTACAAATTATTTTTTTAACAGTTTCACTCAGTTCTCAGTAATGGAATGAGAAACCTATTTGAAATAAACAGCCTTCAGAAAGCTCTAAGCACAGCTCCTAGGGGGTGGAGATCTTCTGTAACATCAGTTTTATCTCTATGACATACTCTTTATTTCTGCTTGCTTGTTTATCTGTTAGTCACACTTAACACCAGTCTGAGATTAAAATAAAGTTCTCACTGTATTTCCCAATTAGTGATTTTTAAGG